CACATTTCAGACAGATACATCATCATTGGGAGCCATCACAGCAGCTTGAACCCTTATGGTGGACAAGGATGGGCCAGTAGCACTGCTGTCATCACAGCATTGATCCAAGCCTTGACACTGAAGGCTAAGAGGGGCTGGAGACCTGACAGGACCATTGTTTTCTGCTCATGGGGAGGAACAGCCTTTGGGAACATTGGTTCATATGAGTGGGCTGAGGTAAAGTAATTTTAGACGGTGTCATTGCAATAATGATTGCTTTTGTTGAAAGCATGAAAACAATATGCAATTACCACGTGGAAATTGTGGTTCATTAGCTGGTCTTTGAGGTCTGTCTGTGTTCATTCATGTACCACCTAGCAAATGCAGTGAAAACACCTTTTGAGGCTGTTCCTGTGGATAATGAGATGGCAGGATGTTTCCGTAGCTGTGAAGGTTGCACATACAGCACCTTTGAGAGCTGATTTCCCTCCCTAATTCAGCAGAGCATTGTAAAAGGTCATTGCCATGGTCTGATAGAGGGAGAAAAACCTCAACAAATTACATAGGCCAAGGAATAGCTCAGAGAGCTTTTTGTCCTTCTTGGGAGTTCTACATTTACTCATTTTTAATTGTAAGGCTTAGTGTGGGGAGAAGTGAATCAAGAGCACACTAAATGAAAAGGAGAGAACCATGCTATGGTTTACATTAACGACATAAACATTGCAGTGCCTCCATGGCTAGTGCTGATTCACTTCTCCCATATTTGTGCTAAGGAGTTAGGTAAAATCCAACACAGGCAATTCCTTGGGCTCTTAGTTTCAACAGAATAGAAACCAGATTATTGATAGAAAATATCTCAACAGGGTATGGATGATCATATATAGTTACAGTGGACTTCAGTTCATAAATTAGAGGAATAGCTGGCAGAGAGTTTCAAAGCTGATTTTCCAACATTAACGATTAATATGAATTAAAACAGTAGATAAAATAAAGAGTTAATTGCTTTTTATCGTGCGTAAGAAGCAGCCAGCCCTCATTGAAATTTCATACTTCCGACATCATTATTCTTCAAAAACAAGAAGGGGTGAAAAAATCAAATTGAAAAGATCCAGACTGGAAGCAAAATTTGTTTAGTTCCACTTCAAGTCAGCTTTACATCAGATGTAATTGTGTTACGCCCCTTCTGTTCAATATAAAGAGCCACTTCATGCAAAGAGGAACTCATTACTGAGAAGGCAAAGGGGATCTTTTTAAAAAAAGATAATAATTGAAACAGTGTGTACATGGTATTTTTATAGTCTAACAAATAATAAAATGAAAACACTGAGAAAGTTATGCAACTCAAATATGAATGTTGTATCTTAAAAATTTGAGTCCATTTAACTGTTGATAATGATTACTTTTGAAGTTTGTCTTCTGTCAGGCATAACTTTAAAAGGCCATCACATTGTTTCACAGTGTGTAATGTTTTCATTTTTGGCCTTACAAGTGTAGGCATTTTTAATTCCTCCCAGACCTGTTTGCATTTTGTTGAGATGATGTGTGAAATGGAATTATAACCTGTGCTATATAGAGAAATAGCACCAAGATATCCTTTGAAGTCCATAACAGCATATTATAAGAAGTAGTAGTTAAGTATTACTTAGGAAATCACAGAGGACAGAAACATTGGGTGCAGTTTTTCCCTGGAAGAAAGTGATAGAACAAAACAAGACTTAATTCTAATGATGCACAGTAGTAACCATTGCTCTGCTTGTGTTTTAGGATCTCAAGAGAGTTCTTCAAAGAAATGTTGTGGCTTATGTTAGTCTTCATGATCCAGTCAGAGGCAACTCAACTTTACACCCTGTTGCATCCCCTTCTCTTCAGCAGCTGGCAGCAGAGGTATAGAAATAAAATATTTGGTTTCACATGTTGTTTATCAGGTTACATGGTTAAACCCCTTGATACCAGTTTCTTTTACATGACTATAAGTGGAGGATGTTTTGTTTAGGAATTTTAACCTCACAAATACACCTTGGCAGTTTTTACTAAGTCAGCAGGTTAATTTTTTTTTTTTAAATAATGTATTAAGAGGTTGGAAAGGATAACTTATTTCACCTGCTTGTTATATCAAGTCTCACCATACTTGCATTCCCTACAGCTTTTTTAACTTTTGACAGCTTTAAAGAAACATATTTGTTATTCTTTAGCACAGAGCACTTTTTTCTCTTCCTAATCAGATCTTTCCAGGCTGTTTCTCAATTTGCATTTAAACCTGTATATTTAGCAGATGTAACATGACACACAGGGAGAGTATGACTTTACTATAATAAATGCTGTCTAAAGTAAGTATGTCAGGTTCAGTGCTCAGTGATGCCTTTGTGGTTAATCTGGAGTCAGAATATTCCACAGTTACACTGGTCTAAGGCTTTAAACTAATGACCTTATTGCTGTTTCTGAAGTTGCTGAATTTATTAATATTTTCCACGAAGTAAAAACAGTATAAGGCACAGACTAAATGACAAAACCAGATTAAAGTGGATGCATAAAATGGAGCTCAATTTGACTTTCATAAATTGTGGGGTTTAGATGTTTTTTCTATGTTTGCCAAGCTAATACCCATTAGATTATTCTGGTGTTTCTTTTACTTGCCTGTGAAGCATTTAGTACCAAACACTCCTCAAAGTAGCATCTTGAATTGAACTCAGTGTAAGACTGGTCCGGCTTGGCAACTAACTTAGTAAAGTTGTATCAGTAAATTGCTTCTTAGCAATGTTTTAACCACTTCTCCTGTCCAATGATTAGGTGTTAATTTCCTGATGGAAAGAATCTGGTTTATTCTGTGTAAGTATTGAGAAAAATGTGATGCAACATCATTTCAGGGGAAAAAAAAATCTTCTGTTTGTGTAAAATTATTTATAATCTTATATATGTGAGTCTGCAGGTGTTATGGATATATCAATTCAAATTTTATTATCAGTTTTAGCTATTGTATTCGCAAAAAATACTGTCCTCAGAGGTTGCTAGCCTTTTGCTAACCTATTGATGTTTGCAGCCCTATCTCCATTAAAACAAGTGTTTGCTTTTTAAGGGAGTAATTTTATTACATTAAGTCCTTGAGTTATTTGGTTTTTTCTCATTTTATTTCTTTGACTTTGCAACACAGTCCAGGGCAGTAATCTGAAAACTAAACTGTGCAGCAGACTCTTTGTTATCTGTTTATCACTTTATTAAGATTCAACTCTTTCATTCTAATAAATACCATATTAGTATGAGCATTGCATTCATGCCCTCTGTTTTGGAGAGAAAGCAAAGGAAATCTCTTTTTTACTTCCACTGTATTTCTGTGGTGTATTTGGGTGTGCTCTTAATATTCAGTAATTCTTGTAATATATATTGTATCCTGTTCAGCATTATGGACACAGCCTCCCTTAGCAGTCTTGCCTTGCACCTCTTAATTAGATGACAGTCAATAAAACATGACTAGAAGTTAATACTTCTTAGTTCCAGTGAACACCTTCCATGTCACTTCTGATTCTTTAATACTGAGAGTGTATCCACTCTGCATTTTACCCTGAAGCCCCATTTAAAAAGTAAAAGATTGAATGCACCCGAGGCAACGTGTCTGGTTTTACTTTCAGTAGGATATTATTATTTGTAATTAATGCATCTGTCGTACAGTTTGTGACATTAAAAAGATTTGTAGGAATTATTGCTTCCCAATGCTGGCTGGATTTCTGAAATCATGTCAAGTATATTGACAGTGATGGAACAGCCCATCACAGATCTTCATTTGTTCCCACGGGTGCTCACAATTTGCCACATGTCTAGAAGATTTTTTCTGGAAGCCTGATCCACTTATAAAGAATATTGATATTGCTTCCAGCACTTGCCAAGAAGACAATGTAATTACAGATTACCTCAAAATTATGATAATGCAAATGAGGTAAGATGTGACCGTTTGGAGCTCATATCACCTTGAAGAAATTGTGAGTCTGTTCACATGAGATTCTTATTATCAGGTGCAGGTTGCAAAGAAGGACTTAAAAATTCCAATGGGAGACAAGGATAATTTTAATTTGTAAAAATATTTCTCTGAAATGATGTTAGAACAGAAAAAAAGGTGAAACAAGAATTTAGAGTTAATAATATCAATCAATTTTAAAATTAAAAGAGAAAATAGCCTTTCTTGTTTAGTTAGATAGAAATTTTCTGTAATTTGTAGATACATGGAAGATACTGGATTCAATGGTAAAACTCATAATTCCATTTTTAAACTACAAGAAAATAGACTATCTTGCAGTACTTTTTTCTACTGCTAAACAGTGTTACAACACTGTTGTTTTGAGGAAAAGGAGACTAAAATCTCACCATTTACCCTAAGGGCAGTGCTCACTGTTGTGCTAAAATTGTGGACACTCCATCTTGGTAAAACAGAGGGAAAATATCTTCCTAGGGAAAATTAATACTTGTTACAAAAACCTACAAAGGTTAAGTATTAGGATTCTGGGGGAAACAGTGAAAACCTGTAGTTTGTCCTGTGAAGGAGAACTTGAGTAAAAATAAAATTTTGGACAGTTGCTGATCACTGCACTTTCCAATACATCTTTTTCCCTTAATTTCTGGGAAAAGGGGAGAAGAAGTTTTAGCTGAAATGTAGTTTGTCTGAATATTCTAGACTTAGCAATGAAAAGAAGAGTCACAAACCTAATAAGTTGTCTACATGTGAGATCTGGTGGCCAGTTAGAGAATAGGATAAGTGCTTGGCTAATTAACAGAGACCGTATTTCTTAAAGCTGTTTTGTACAAAGGGATTACATCTTCATATTAGCTGCAGGTTTCAAAAGGGAGCTACATAAGCAGTCTGCAAATAATAATTTTATATGCCTATCTGTGGGATTCAGTGGGATTCTGGTTGAAACACCAAATTACATGGAGAAGCTAATTTAAATATTTGGATTAATTAAGCAAAGAGGAATTCAAACAGTTCTGAGACCTTGACATATTTAATTCAAATCTTTTTTATATAGCTATTCTAATTAATGTCCACATTAACAAGAGAGAAATACTGCCAAGTTATATTTTTGTCTACTGTTATTTTGTAAGGAAAATGATTGTTAATTCACTTGCTCAGTTGGTGAATCGCCATTTGTTGGCAGTGTCATTGGTAAATTGGGTTTGTTTGATGCTGGTATTCATTCTCTGTAAATAATACCATTAATGATTTTTTCTATAATTAACATTTCCCAAGTAAAAAAGTTATTATGGAACATGAATTCATTTCTGTTGTCTTTTCAGTGATTATGTGACCATACTCTGGCTCTGTTATTACTGCAGTGCCCAACAAACCTTAGTACTCTTGTCTACTAAAGGAAAAGAGGGATTTAAATCTATTGATTAATTAGTTGATCATTAAAAATGACTGTGCCAAGTATTGCTCCATGCTCTTTATCAGTATTTGTTTCTACTAAAGGACTAAAAGGCATAAAACATCTTTACATTTAAAGGTGGTGTTATTGACAGAAAACTCTTTTTTCTTTATGAAGTAGAACCAAAGATAAAGTCCTGTATAGATGCTTGCTACTATCATTATTTCTTGATTTAAAAAAAAAATCAAAACTTATATTAATGTCAGCATTGATTCTTTTCTTCCAACTTCTGTGTGTTTCTCAATTATTTTTTTATACTGCCAGCATTAATAATGGATTTCCTGGCATCATATATCAGTAATTATAAAAAAGAAAAAAAAAAGCCTTACTATTTGAATTGCTTGTTGTATGCCTTATAACAGAAGATTACATCTTTCCCATGAGTTTTCAGTCTTTACCTATTATCCCTTTTAGTGTTATTTTATTTCTTGTGTCATTTTTTATATTTGTGTTGAAAACCAAAAAAAAAGCCTCTTGAGAATCAGAGGTTTATGCTGTGAACTCCTGTCTCAGGAATTCATAACTGTGTTAAAATGATGCTGTTAATATAGACAATACTTCATTGCCAGCTTTATTAAATTAATTAAGATGCTGCTTCTGCAGTGTGAAAAGTTTCATTTAATGGTGGATTTGATTTGCAGCAGGTTCTTTGCAGCTCCTATCTGTTTTTTTGTTTTGATAAAATGTTGCTTTGTCCACTGTTACATATTTTTTCTCTCTTCTTCCAAATCAAATAATTTTGATAAATGCTGATTCAGTGAGTAATCATTTAAACTTATTCAGAAATTTTGGTGTTATGAAAATACTATTGCTATTAAACATGGGAAAGAAAGTTTGTTAGTGAGGAATAATGCAACTGGACCAGTTTTCATGCTGTGATCTTTGTGGCGATCTGCAAAGAGTCCATTGTTTCTAATGAATCAAGCTTTCTGCTTCCATGTCCTTCCCTGTCTTTACAACATAGATTTCTGCTAAAGGTATAAATGATGTGTATTTTCATTTTCTTTTTTAGAAATGTAAATGTCTACTTTGATAGCCTTTGTGGATGAAACTGAATAAATCTGAACATTTTATTATCTTTAAATGTAGCACTGGAGTAGGGAAGATTTCAATAATTCGTTTCCTGCTGCAAAATGGATTTTGGTTCTAGGTTTCTGTTTTTGAATCTACTTAAAACTGTCTAATATAATGAACTGTACTATGTAAGGGAATTGGTTTTTCCTTCCAGAGACTTTATCCAGACTACAGTATTAGAAAAGTTAACTTCAGTTCAGTCTAAACATTCCTTTGTTTAATTTCATCTTCATTACTTCCCCTCATAACTGACTTTTTCATGTTAATGGAAAGATGTTTTTGTAGTGATAGAAAAGCCTTTCATGTGGGGAGTTTAAAAGTAAACTTCTAGTTCTTACAAAAGAAGAGAGATTGAGAGCCTTGGATATTTTAAATTTTCTACATAAAGACAAATCATTG